ACAGTTTTACATTAATCTATTTGAAAATTTAGATGAAATGGGCAAATTCCTTGTGAACCACAACTGAACAAAACGGACTTAAGGAAGTGTAACACCAAATATTGCTAGGTCCGTAAAATAAATCTGTAATTAAAAACCTTTGCACAAAGCAAAGTCTAGGCCCAAATGGTTTTACCAGCAAATTCCATCAAACACTGTTCATTATTTCAAGCATGTAAATTTAGTTTAACACCGAGCAAAAAGTCTCTAATTCACTATATTAAAAGAATAAAGGAGAAAAATCAGAATCATCGCAGTAAGCGAAGAAAAAAAATCCACTTGATAAAATTCATTCATGGTAAAAACTCAGCAAGCATGTGGAGGAGTATCAATAACTTCCCATGTGAGACTGGGGGAAAGACACCAATGTTACCTTTTCTATGCAGTACTGTACTGGATATCCTAACCAGTGCAGAATAAGAAAATATGTAACCACCAGAAAGGGAGAGAGAAAACTGCCATTATTCCTCAACTATGACAGCACATTTATCATAAACAATACATTTAACAGGCTGTTGAGTACAGTTTCAACATATAAAACCAAATTTTTTATATGCTGACAACTGAAAAAGTTTTCTGACATCAAAAATATACATTGTAATAAACTTACAAAATATACAAGGCCTATTTAAAAACTTATGTAAAACAGAAATTAAAGATGACCCAGACCTAAATAAATAGCCCATGTTCATAGAAGAATGCAGTATTTTAAAGGTGTTTATTTTCTCCAAATTATTCTACAGTTTCAATGCCCAATCAAAAGCCTGACAAGGTTTCTTTTTCTTTCCTTTCCTTCCTTCCTTCCTTCCCCTCCCCTCCCTCCCTTCCTTCATTTATTTTTTGTTTTTGGTGTTACTTAACAACCTGGTTCCAAAATTTATATAAAAAAGCAAAAGGCCGTAAACAGCTAAGAGAAGATTAAAGAACAAGGTTGAGAAGGGAGGGGGACTTGCTTTACTGTATCTTAATGATCTTAAGGCTACATTAAGACAACAAACAAAGAAAGGTTAAGAACTCTAACATAACGTAGAGTCCGGAAACAGACTCAAATGGACACCTGACTTACTGCATAGGAGTACTGCAGAGGTGTAGGAAAAGGATGTTTTTCCCCAATAAATGGTAGAAAACTAGGTGTACGTATGCAAAACAAAAAGCATCTCAAAACAATCCACACTGTACGTGACAGATGAATTCCAGACAGACTACAAAGCTAAATATAAAACAAACTTTCTGGAAAAGAACACAAGAGACTATCTCAGAAGATTTTTTAAACAGGGCATAGAAAGCTACAGGCACCCAAAAGACTGAAAAATAAGACTACGTTAAAATAATGAATTCCTAGTTGGTCTGCAACACAAATGAAGGGTCTATATACGAGATATATAAAGAACTACTACTAATACTACATTAGAAGAAAAACCAAGAGAAAAATGGACTAGAACCAAAACCTACATAAAAAGATTTCCAAATGGCCAACACCTCTTACAAAGGCAAATTAAACAAAATGAGAAACCGTTATTCATCCACCAGAAAGGGAGAATTAAAAAGACTGACGGATTAGGATGTAAGAATTACAAGAATTTTCATATCCTCTTTAGCAATTCTACTTCATTAGGTAAATACTCACCAAATATGTATGTATGGAAGGTCTAAGAAAGATGAAAAAGGATATTCCTATAGCATTATTTATAATCTCCTTAAATTGGAAACAACATAAATACCCACCAATAAGATGTGAGGTGGTGTGAAGGTAAAGGAATGGACACACACACAAAATACTATTTTGTCAATGAAAGCAATGCAGTTGCATGCATGCAACATTCTGGATAAATTTCACACAAACTGAGGAAAAGACGAATATAAAAAAAAAACTTTGATTCCATCTACATTGTTCAAACTGTAGGTGCAGTTTGAGAAATACTTAAGTATTAGAACCAGAAATCAGTAATTACTGTGAAAGCGAGGAGAGTGTTTACCTTTTGGAGGCTAAGTGGGACAGGCCAGTGTCTGGGTAAGGGCATGAGGAAACTTCTGCTCTGGAGTTCTGGCATCGTTCTGTTCTCTTGACCTGGGTTGTAGTTACAGAGTTGCTTGTTCTGTGGTAATTCATTAAAGTATACAGTTTCGTGTTCTTCTCTGTTACATTTCACCATTACAAAAAAATTCACTTTACAAGAAACTTTGCCAGATTTCTTTAGGGACGCTCTGTTTCCTACCATCTCAACTGCAGGCTACTGTTGAGCTCTCCATGTATCCACTACTCCACCTACCTTAATTGAGGATTACACGCCGCAAGGTGGATGTCTGACAAAACCCACATCAAGAAGCAGCAGTTCCAGCAAGATGAAGACAGTTCTGGAGAGTGGTTGCACAACAATGTACTCAAAGTACTGAACTGTACATTTAAAAATGTACAGATGTAAGATGGTAAATTTAGGTTTTTTTGCCACAAATAAACAAAAAAAGGCATCTCTCATCTTATGGTCCCATAAGATAGGAAAGCAGTAATGCTCTGGAAGATGCTTTTATACTCTCTGGTCCTCTGGCCTCTGGCTCATGGCTTAGGGACTCAAGTGAAGTAAAACTACAAATGCACACTTGGGTAGGTAATAATGTTATGTCTGAAAACTGAATTTTTATCTTTGGATTTGCTGCCCCACTGCCTTATTTATACCCGAAAGCACTCAGCTTTGTTCGATTCTAAAATGTGGAACAAAAACTGTTTTATGTCCTAAAACTTCAAGGCTATGATCTTTAATACCTCCCTCTGTGATATCTGGTGTTAGTGATCACACATGAATTCAGAGATCTAAAGACTGTTTTGAGCCAATTACCGAATATTCCAATGTATTTAAACTACTATAATTTCACTTAGTGCTGTAATAAAACCACAAATGGGGTTACAGTATGGTGTTTTACTGAACCACTGAGCCAAAATGGTGTTCCCTAAAAGTGAGACGGGTGGAAGATCATCATTCTTGCTCTTACTGAGAAAATTCTACAATGAAGACTGTGTAAGATCTATAGACTCCTTTAAATGGAGATGAAGTTCCTACTTGGCTAGGTATGTTCCCCCCTTCACTCGTAAAAAGTCAAAATCTGATTTGAATTCTGAAGCAGAAAGAAGGAAAAATAAAACAGTAGGTCTAGACCCAACTAATCTAGGACTTTTTTTTCTACAACGCCCTCCCCCGCCACCTGTGGGGGAATACGTTCCAAGACCCCCAGTGGATGCCTAACCATGCGGACAGTACCCAACCCTCTATAATTGTTTTCTCCTACACATACATACCTATAATGAAGTTTCGTTTATAAATTAGGCACAGCAATTATCAACAAAATTATAAATTACGTAATAAAAATTTATGTGAATGTGGTCTCTCTCTCTCTCTCTCTCTCCCCCTCTCCAAACATCTTATTGTACCGTACTCACCCTTCTTGTGCTGATGTGAGAGAATAAAATACCTACGTGAGATGAAGTGAGGTGAATGACGCAGGTATTGTGAGGCATGTTAGGCTACTAGTGACCTTCTGAAGACGCATCATAAGGAGGATCATCTGCTTCTGGATCACAGTTGGCCTCGGGCAACAAACTGAGGAAAGCAAAACCACAAACAAGGAGGGAGGACTACTGTACGCATATTCTCTGAAACCTTTGTAAAAGTGAACAAGGAAGGAATTACACGTTCGGTACTCTGTAACTCCTTTCAAAAAGAAAATTTTTGTAAAAGACAACACTTAACACAAAATTTGAATTAACTTTATTTCCCCTACAGTCAACAACTTCTCTGCATTGAATTTTAAAGCAACAAAGTAAAATAAAATCCCCCAAATGACAAGGTATCAGAAATCCAGATTTAGTTACACTTTGTGAAAATGTTCAGCCATTTTATTGGTCTGTAAAAGAACCATCATCTGGGTCAAAAATGAATTCTATAAATCAAAGTATATTCTACACTTTGGAAAAGAAAATCAGCAGTAACATTCTCACTGAATATTGTAAATTACACTTTTCCTCATAAAAGGTACATACTATTCTGCACTTTTCCACCAAAAGCAGTGGTAAGTTATGCTTGTTTATATAAAAAAAAGTTATATCCTGTGGCAGGAAAAACCCTTTCTCTTTCACTTTTACTAAACAACTGGAGAAAATTTTCAAGTCTATATAAAGTTGCCTATAAGCTGGAAAATGAACATGTTCAATCTCCATTTATACTTTAGTGCATTTTTTGACAATTGTCACATTTTTAATAAAAGTAAGAAAATGCATATAGCATTAAAGAGTGTTTCATCAAATGCTTCAGGAATTAAAAAAAAAAAACATGGAGCAGAAGATAAAATCATTGTGAAAGGTGAAACTATCAGAAAATAAGACAAATCCAGGCAAAGTTTACAAATCCTTTGTCATTTTGAAGAGTCACAGAAAAGGAACTCTGGATACCTGTCCACTTTAAGGGTTTTTTTCCCCCTTAATCTTTTGCATGTAAACATAGTGCTCATCTCAGTGATACCAAACCCGATCCTGGAAGGAAACCTCCTGTGCGGTTGCCATGCTTTCTGAAGGATATAAATCTAGCCCTTGAATGAACAATGCATGAGATCTGCTCTGTAAGTACCTGGTGAAAACAACTGCCAACAGCAGCAATAATGTGTCAACATAAAAAACTATTTGCATCAATTAGTTACTCAGAGGTCCACCTTTGAAACAGCAGCTTCTTAGAGCAAATAATAAGCAACAGAAAATGTACATTTGATGAAACATTCTTTGCACTGGAGAAACATGAAAATAAATATAGTTCAAGGAAGTATAATTACTTTTCTAATACCTCTTTCTCAGACCTGTACTAGTTTACTGGTTCAAGAGAATCACATCACATTTTGTCATTTGTATTTTACATATTGCTATTTGGGTAATTCAGAGAAAATGTAGGTCTCGTAAAAAATAAAAACATTGACAAGTATGCATGTGCCAGGGACCAAATTAGAGGGTTCTTTGGTGCAATTAGTCCAAATTCTCAGATTTGAAGGATAATATGTACCAATAAAAAAAACCTGCTGTTAGACATTTACAGCAGTGCTCTGTCTTGCTTCACATTACAAATAGAAAATAGCTGTTCTCAATAAGCCAATTTTAGTTTTTAAATCAGGCATTGCCAGAAAATTTTGTACATTAATCTGGACCAGTGATGGTTCTGTACCCTCTGTTGTGAAACATGACATGAGCTAAAGGCAAAGACCGGTTCTCACAAGGACAACTGCTTCAAGTTAGGAACCCGAACAGTGCATTTAAACAGTCTTCTTAGATAGTTTCTTGCCTTTCTTAAAAACTAGTTTATTTTTAATGTAGCCACGCTTCCTTTTCGTAGTCTAAAAAAGAAAACAGAACATGTGGTATTAGTGCAGGTTTCTCCCAGAATAATATATACACACATGGTTGACAGCGCTGTGACAAAGACTGTCTTAATAAGCCCTTAAGAGTTCTTCTCTTGGCTGCCTCCTTGAACAATCGATGAACACTAATAACAGTTCTATGCTGAGGATGCAGAGAGATCCAAGATAGGTTGGACTAGGTTCCTAGCTTTCAGATGAAAGCACTACCCAGAGCATTCCTCAAATGCACAGCATACATTCCTCACCTCCAGGTAAATGAGCCCCTCCCTCCCCTCTCAACATACTAAATGCCTAGCTGTAAGAATTACTCACACTTCCAGGCATGACAGAATAGAACACTAGACTAAGGAATCAGGAAATGTTAATGCTACTCCTGGTGTAGCCTCCAAGAATTAGCTGTGTGTCAGAAACCAAATTAACTTAGTTTTGGTATGTGTAAAATGAGAGCGATTGTACCTATCTACAAAGATGAAAGAGAAATAGAGTTACTTGGCACATCCTCCCAATTCAGGCAGAAAAATAATTTAAAAAGTGAAAACCAAACACCAAGGGGAAAAAAAGCTGTAACATTCCTTGAGTTTCACAGATCTTTAAAAAATAACATTTTTCTAAACACCTCAGGATCCCACTAAAATACTTTCAACAGATGTTTTCTGGTGTAAGAAACAAATCGCTACACAAATGTGGTGGTAGAACTTATTGCAAAAAATTTAGAAGATAAATCATAAAGACACATGGGTCTCCACTCTGACATATCTCCACTGATACTGAAAAAAAGTGCTAATTTTTTCAAACAGGTGATTTAAAGCACTGGGTTAGAAGAGGCTGGAGACTTAAGAGAGGAAAGCAAATATTCCTCTAGTGCAGTATAAAACAGAACATAAAGCCATGGCAACCCAAACTTCAAAATCCATGTTGCTGGCTACTAGAATATATGTTTTGGGCACACAAGGCAGACAATTTTTACTGATCCATTCACTTGCTGATTTGGGGGAAATGACGGGAAGAGAAGGAAGGTCAGATTCAGAAAACCCACTGTCATCAGCTAGACAGCAATTTCAGTGGCCTTGTTTCTCAGAAAGGGTGGGCCTTAACTGGGCTTAGAGGTCTCGGGAGTAACTGCCTTGAGACTAGCACCATTTGCTTTGACTTCTGCACTGATGTGACTCACCAGTTTCTCCTGCCACATGACTATAAAAAACCAGATCATGTGTCATGTGATGTACAAAAAGACTGTTAAGTGAATGTGATATGACTAACACATTGCATGTCAGCTCCACATTTAAATATATCAGTCTAGATATAGTGATCTATATCTGACAGAAAGTACTAATTTAAAAAGCTCTTATTTATATATCATACAGCTAATATTCAGCACTTTCATAGCACACACTGAAATAATCGACTTTGAATACATTTTAAGTAATGCAAAGGGAAAGACAATTGTTTTAATGATTTAAAAAAAAATTCTGAACAATGTAAACTGAACCTAAGCATCTTTCAAGACTTACGACTGAAATGGGTCCAATAATTACTATTATAAGCGTAGTCCCGTAAAATGCAACCTTAATATTTTACTTGACCGGCTCATTATTTCCCATCTCCCATAGAGAGCAACCTATGTAAATAGTCATTTTTAGTGCCTTTTAGAGCTAAGATTAGATCTATTTGGCTTAAGTGAGCAATAATGACCTTCAATAAAATACTTCATATCTTACTAAATATTGCTTACAAAGGGACTATAATAGTCTCATCATCATAATTCCTGTCTACAATTTTGTCATGATCATTACATTTAAAAATAATTATCTTAAGAGAAATGATTTTTTCAAAAATTCAGCACTTGACCAATTCAAACTTAGTTTTTAGTCAATGAACAACAACATATTAAGAATGGAACATGAAAATGCAATATAAATTAGCTTTGACCAAAAGATAAACCAATTGCAACTGTACTTGGGTATTTGGCATTTTTACTTTCATAAAAGCTTAGAAAGTGATGGCCACAGACCTATCTTACTTTCAAAGAAGTCTTACTAATTGGAATCACCCAAACTAAAAGCCAGAATGCCTCTGGAAAACCTCACCTCAGTTTACTAATAACCACTATGCTATCCAAAAAAGGCTGCTGCTTGAGATATCTCAAGTGCTCAGTTTGAAAGGAATGGCCTTAGGAGGCTAGCTTGATACTTACTTTGTAGATAAGCCATAGTCTACAGAGATCTAGCAAATTAAAATTTACCAGGAATTTTTAGTAATTGTTTTTCAGTAATGACTTCCCTTGGCACCCACCTTCTTTGACAAATACTTCTGTTTTGGGAAAATGTTGGTGACTCGAGGTTTGTGGTCTAGTGTCTCCCTGTTATCAGGTGCTTTCACTTTATATATCCTCACAAGCCAGTGTTCTGATGTAAAGGCTTCCTCCAAATGTTTGAATTTAATGTCCTTGTTTCCAATCTCAGCATTACGTGTTCGATCAAAACCTGGGGGTGTACGAAAATCCAGCTGCAAAAGTGACATTAGTATGGGATGTTAACCATATTAGAAAACATTCAGATGTAAATGTTCTAATGAGTGAAACTCTCTCCCTTTAAACTAGGAAAACAGAATCAGAGTAGTATCTTGTAACATTTCTCATATGTTGCTAACTAGATAGGAAGAACTCAGGAAGAGAGAAATTAAATACAGCAGAATTAGAATTGCACTGCACCCTTAGAGTAGATGAGCAGCCTGCGGGCATTAAAAAACCCAAAACAGCCAAATGAGATCCATCAAAGCCCTTTTTATAGGTTTACAGAGAAACGCACAGAAGGGACTTCTTTTGTTTCAGGGCCTTGCACGAGTCGATTCTCTCAGCCTGAAAGTTCTTCATTCAGCTCTTCCGCTAGGCTGATTCCTTTCTATCATTTGGTCTCAGCCCAACACCATCTATTCAGGGAAATATTTTCTTGAAATTGGTGGTTGAGAAGTCTCCTCCATTATTTCCTTATCTTTTACTCTACTAGCATTCACTGCTAAAATGTTTTATTTATTTTTAAAGTTACCTGTATCCTCCACCAGGATGTAAGCTGCATGATGACTTTATCTTATTCAGAGGGTGGCTTTATCTCCCCAGTGTTATTTGTTAAATAAATGCACAAGCAGCGATACTACATCCAGAAAGTGGGAACTATAAAGGAAGTTAGAAAAGCCAAACCACGGGAGGATTTATGAGGAATGAAAAGAGGAAAAAATGGGGGGAGGGGAGATTTTAAGAGATTCTCAGACTAAGTTTATGTTCACACAGAGCATGAGCAAATTCAACTTTAAAACAAAACAAACTCTAATAAGGGAATAAACTGTTCTTGCAGATCTACACAATAGAAAAGTTATCCTCCTATCTTAAGCACTTACTATTCTTGACTATGGAACGCATCAGAATGAGCACATGGTAGAAACATGGCTTAAAACTGTTAATAATTTAAAGGATAGCCCCCCAAAAACGAAAGAAAAGTCCTTTAATGCTATCATTAATGACCAGAGAAACTAATCTTTGACCCATTTTCTAAAGTAGCCAGTTATCATGACTTAAGTGGTTCGTTCTTATGTGAGTGTAGAGACCAAGCAGTTGCCTTCAAAAAAAAAAAAAAAAAAAAAAAA